ATTCCCCCCGGGCCCCCCGCGCCCCACCCTCTAGCCAGTGGCTCCTGGAGCTGGGAAGGGAAGGGGCTTCCTCAGGCCACATGCTCGAGTTGGGGTTGGCAGGTGGACAGAGCCCCCCAAGCTCACCTAGGAGCGGAGGTGTGGGTCCTGGGAGCACTCCTTGTTCCTCACCACCTGCGTTCCCAGCTGCCTCACCGGCCTCAGCGTCCTGCTGCCCAGAACAGCCCTGCACAGAGCTTGTCCGACCTGTTCCTGCCTGCCCTGCCCGCCCTGCCCGCCCTGCCAGCCCTGGAAACAGGAGAGACCTCGGTGGCAGAGGGCTGATGACCCTATAAACCCCGCAGAGAAGGCCCCCAGCCATAGCTTGAGTGCAGGTGAACGTCTGTGCAGGAACTCGAAGGCTCAGGCCTGCCCGGGGACTCCTCAGAACGCCCCCGGGAGCCGAACCGGGTGGTACAGAAGATGCTGAGCTGTGAGACAGAGACGCTGTTCCAGTGCTGGCTTTGGGACAACTTGCTCTGTGACTAACCTCTGAGCGTCTTTTCCCATCTGCAAAATGGGGGCGACCAGACCTGGCCGAGTCTCAGAGGGATTCTCAGAGGGCCCAGGTGAGATCACGCCTGCGGTGCTTAGTCAACACCGAGGGCCACACGTCAGCACTGTGTGAGAAGGCACCCCTCCTGCATTCCCCCGGCTCGGCCTGTGCCCACCCCCAGAGCTGTTATGTGACACCCTGCACCGTGAGGCTGGCCGCCTCCTGTGCGCCCACCTGTGGGCGTGGCCTTTGCTGTGTCTGGCAGCCGTCCCTGTCCCGCTGGTGCCCACCCACCGAGGGGCTCCTGTGACACTGCTGCTTCCCGTCTCCCACGGCTGGTGGTGGTCAGTCTGGCCCTCTCTGCAGGGCCTCTGTGGCATCTTGCCGCCGACACTGTTGGACAGAACGCAGCACTCAGGAGAGTCCGTCTGAGCCCTCGGGTTCCAAGCCTGCTGGTCATTGTTTGCTGAGTGCACCTGATTACTCACTGGGTCAGCCCGGGTCCGCGTTCCTCCCCTGAGAGGAGGACCAGCTGGTCTTGAACACCCTTATAGCTTGTGGTGGCTCTCGTTTATGGTCAACAACGCTTTGGTCCCACGTCTGCACAGCCAATGGCCATGCCGTGGGCTCCTCGCCACAGGAGGCTCTGAGCCTGGGGAGGACAGTGCTGGCTGCTCGGTGCGGCCCTTGCCTGTTTGCTGCTTATGGATCTAGGCGTGCACCCTGTCAGTTGTCCCCTCCCGCCCGCTCACCATGGTCTGGCTTTTGGCCTTCCCAGATTTGTGTAAGCCGACAGGTTCCAGAGCCTTCGGGATAGAGATATCATCAATGACTCGTATCTCCAGATCAACCCAGGAACGGAGAGGCCTCTAACGGCTTACCTCCAGCAGTTTAGGACTTTCTTTGGCGTGCGCCAAGCGCCAGGCCTCCCCCAGCTCTGGTTCCACCCAGAGGGAGGGTCTGTGGTGTTCATCTCCCTTCGCCCCGGGACCCCTGGTGGGGAATCACTGTGTCGTGCGCCAACAGCAGGGAACAGTGGTCCATTGTCACTGGCCTGGCTCCTTTCCGACGTATGGAGGCAGTGAATTTTGATGGTTGTGTTGACCTGGGCCAAGTTCCTGAGTGTCTCCTGCCCCCACCCCTACTCTGCAAATACCGTAAGGGGGGGACAGTGACCTCCGAGAGTCCTTCGTCTCAGACCGTGAGGCCCTGCTCCCCGCTGACCTCACCCCTCTCCTCTGTCCCTTCCACAGGGTACAGCAGCTGGCGAGGACTGGCCAAGGCTCTGGCCAGCAGGGACATTCCAGCCGTGGGTCCAGACCTCCAGTTCCACCGTCCCCAGAGGCTGAGCCCCAAGGTGCGTGGCAGGGCCAGCCCGAAGGCGTTCAGGGAAACTCCACTGCTGTGCAGAGAGGCAGAGAACAGCCCCCAGTCTGGCAGCTGCAGGCTCCCAGCTGAGGCAGTGGGGATGGCCATCCGGGCCTTGCCGAAGCCTGGGGCCACCCCTGGGCCTGGCTTTCCTGTTCTTGCCTCGGTCAAGTCCAGGATGCCCACGTTTGACCCGTTCCATCTCAGCACGGTCTGCGCTTGCCAGAGTGAGGAATTGCTGTGCCGTGCCGTGCTGCCGGGTGCTGGCTGCGGAGCCAAGGGGGTGACAGACAGCTCCCAGATAGCAGGGTGGAGGGCCCGGGTGTTCATGGAGCTTCTTTCCCACGTTGCTCCGTGAACCCTCAGGAGGCGGATGAGGGAAGCCGGGGTGCAGCTCTGTGTGGAGTCCCGAGGCTGAGCCTACAACAGACGCCACCCTCAGGGCTGGACCAGGGCCAAACTGAGTGGGTGGGACTGCTCAGCAGGGAGGCTTGGGGTGTTCTTGAGGGGTCCCACTTGTTGAGATACGATGTGGGCAGAGCTCGGGGGTACAGAGGAAGACAGTCAGGGCCCTTGCCCCCGGGAGGTCCCGACCTAATTAGGAAAACTGGTTTCCCTGGGGGGGTGGCTGGCAGAACTCGGGAGAGTGAAGGGACCTTGGAGCTTGAGAGGACGCTGGGAGGACGAGAGCACTGCGAGTGACAGGTGGGAGGGTCTGTGACACTGGGGAGCTTCCTGTGCCCCTGGACCCGCCCTGCCTGCAGTTTCTCACCGGATATCCCTCAAGGTCGTTCTTTATTCGGCCAGGACCACGAGGTTGACGGAGGTGGGCACGGTAACCGCAGCTACCTGGAGTGGAACAAGCCCGTCCCTTGGCTCTCAGAGGTAAGGGACTTCACTGTCCAATTCTTTGACAAGGTTAAGAAAATATTTGCACCCAAGAGGAGAATGAAGGGATTGTCGTGTGGCCTCTCCCCCACCAGGGGGTGGTTTCTCTCTGTCTCTCTATCTCTCTGTCTCTCTGGCAAGTGCACACGTCTTATAGCAAAATTCTCTTTAAAAAAATTTCCAAAGATAATTCCAGAGATCAACGAGAACTTTCTTCTAGTGGTTATTAGCAGGAATTTTTGCCCTCAGGATTCCAAGCTTGTCCAATTTTCTTCCTTGAGAGAAAGAGCACTTATTTTTGGTAGAGATTTCTGCCTTAGGGTGCTTGCTCTTGCTAGAGAGAGAGACTGAGACGGTGAGAGGGTAAGTGAGAAATCACTCCCTGGGGGGATGGCTGTGCTGCAGTCCCGTCTCCATTTTCCTCCCAGAATCTTGGACACACACACGCACACACGCCTTACATGAGTTCTAAGTCACCAAGTCTGGGACTCGAACCACAGTTGACCATGTGGGAGTCCAGCAATGTCACCATTTCACCCTCTGCTGGTCCCCACAGCTGCCTCTGTGAAGCCCTGACAGGACGGTTGTCACTGCTGGTGTAACTGTAGGAGGTGACACCGTCAGGTAGTCGTGGGCCACCCCCGCTGATATACTTGGAAAAGAAGCTGCTGTAAAGATCACTTGGTCTGGGGATCCAGCCTTCTGTCCTCCACGGACTACTTGAATCTTTTTTTGTTCTAAAGCTTTTTTTTACCGTAGGGCACATGTGCTCACTGCACAGGGGAGACAGACTTGGAGAGCGAGGGAGGAAGAAATCAGCTCCGGGGGATGGCCACACCTCAGTCCCACCCCCTCACCCTCCCCTCCAGATTTCAGGCATGAACACACATGTCCCCAGGGTGCTTTTCAAGCTGCTGGGTCTGGGACTCAAACCTGGCTCTCGGCCATGCAGGACCAGCACCTTCCCCACCTCACCACCTGCTGGCCCAACAGTGCGGTGCTCTGCGGTGCTGAACGCACACACGCAGGGTCTGGGCTTGTGTCCCAGGCCTCCCGTGCGCAGTGGGCTGCACACGCCTGTGCCCTGGGCTGGCGGAGGCTGGGAGGGGCTTCTCTCCCTCTCCTCTCTTTCTCTCTCTCTCAAGGGAAATAAATAAGCTTGAAGTTATTATTATTATTTTTAATTTAAAGACATCTGTCAGCGTGTGCATGTGCTTACCAGGCAGACAGAAACGTGGTTACGGGGGGTGAGGTCCAGCCTCGATCTGGTCTCCATTTCCCCATCCTGTCAACTTTGGGTGTGCACACGCACACACACACACACACACACGCACACGCACACGCACACACACACAGACACACGGGCTGCTGCAGCTGGGATTTCGACCACACAGTTGGCCGTGGGATCTGGCTCCCTTAACCACTGGGCGGTGGGGCCAACCCTAAAGATTTTTTTTTGAGAGGTTTTTGCTGTAGGGTGCGTGCAGTCACCAGAAAGACAGAGCGAGATAGAGACAGAAAGCGAGAAATCACCCCCGGGGGGATGGCCACGTCGCAATCCCTTCTTCTCTATTCTCCTCTCGGGATCTTGGACACGCATGCACACGCGCCCGGCATGAGTTTAAGCCACCGGGTCCGGGACTCGAACTGCGGTCGACTACATAGGAGTCCAGCAACATAGCCATTATGCCACCTGCTGGTCCCCTAAAGTTTTTTTTTTTAACCTATCTGTCTCCCCCACAAGTAAGAAAGCAGCATCCCCAGAAGAGTCTTGATGCTGTGATCCACCCTGGTCCCCCCAGCCCCTACCGTGGGCACGTGCATGCCTGGCACAGTAGGAAGGTCTCTGGACACAAACCTGAAACCTTCACGTGTAGGTCAGACGTCGCGTGCCTCATCCTACCACTGTGCCACCATCCGGCCCTGATCAGTAAGCTTAGAGAAAAATGAAAAAAATACTGAGCAGCAGAAATCTGAACCAGAGCCTAATGTGTGGGGTCCAGCCTGGTCAGCCTCTGTGGAGAGACCGGGGGCTCAGCCTCCCGTCCTTCATGGGGAGGCCCGCTGCCCGGGGCTGAGCCACCAGCAGGCCGTGTTCGTCTCAAGGGCTTGGATCCGAGCGAGCAGCAGCAGAGCGCAGGGGGGCAGTCGGTGCCCACGTCCCGCCATGGCTTCGACTGCTCTGCCTGCCCTCCCCTGCACACCTCGCCCTCTGCCAGAGCCCCTGGCAGGGCACAGTGGCCTGTTTGCCTGGCTGTCTCCGCGGACCGTGGGCCTGTCCTGTTGCAAAGCAGACACTCAGTGTTGCTTCTAGGATGAGTGAAGTTGATCAGGGAACCGCGCTGTGCGGGAATGGCGGGGAGCTAGCGACTGACTGGGAGGTGGGGACGGTCTCAGAGAGGGCTCTTGGAGGCGGGTCTGCCGCACGGGGAGACAGGAGAGGGTCTTCCTGTCAAAGCAGCACGGTGACAGCTGGGCAGGCCAGAGGTGATGTGTTGGTGAGGACGGGTGTGTGGCAGGGAGGGGAGTGAGGTGAGGCGGGAAGGTCAGGCGTAACAGCCTCGGCGTGCCAGGGAGCTTCAGGGTTTCGCTGCCCAGTAACTAGGTCGGATCTGCGCGGTAAGACAGCGGTTCTGGGGCCAGCAAGTGGTGTGGAGGTTAAGGTGCTGGATTGCAGGTGGCCAACAGCAAGGTTCAAGTCCCAGCAGTTCAAAAATCACTCCAGGCATGTGTATGTGCGTGCCCAAAATCCCAAGAAGAGAGTGGAGTTTGGGACTGCAGTGGGGCCATGAGATTTCTCTCTTTCTTCTCTCTGGTGAGCACATGTGTGAAACTAAAACACAGATGTAGAAAACAAAAACACACGAGCGCTCTGGAGGACCGAAGGGACAGGCGGGGCCCAGTTGGGTTTTGCCCAGGCTTGGCAAGCCCAGTGACGCCTGCAGGCTGGCCTCGCCCTGCGGCCCTCCCCTTCCTCAGCTCTGGGACAACAGGGTCCCGAAGGACATTTCCCCACTCCTGTTTCTGCTCTAGGGTGCATGGACTCACCAGAGACAGAGAGTGAGAAATCACCTCCCAGGGGGATGGCCACACCACAGTCCCTTCTCCTCTCGGACACATACACACACATATACCCACACCTGGCATGAATTTCAAGCCACAAGGTCAGGTTTGGGACTTGAACATGGTCCACCATGTGGGAGTCTGGCTCCCTAATCACTACGCCACCTGCTGGCCCTATTCGCTACGACTTCTAGCTGGAGGTTCCCAGCCATCGTGGGCCTAGATGTCCTCTGGCACTGGGCGTCACCAGCACAGTCCCTGGGCCTTAAACCTGTGGGACAGCAGATGCTGGATCCCTCGGCCTCACATCTCCAATTGGTCCCTTAGAGACCAGCTTGCAGCCTGGGGGTGCAACAGAGTTTAAGGGCCCCCTTAATGTGGGTGTGGCCTGGCCCTGGGAGATGAGGGTCCTCTCCCCACCCCTGTGGGACCTTCTCCCATTGCTGAAGCAGGAGAAGGCCCTATAGGGGCTGAGGCGGAGGAGGGAGCGGGTGTGGGTGAGGGCGCAGGGCGGAGGGAGGAGGGAAGTGGCCAGCTAGCCCCTCCCACCGTCCCTCCTTCCCCTGCCTCTGGAGTTTGGGATCTGAGCCTCCCAGGGAGGGGCCAGAGAGGAGGCCACCTAGAGGGGCAGCTGAGGCTCGTACACTTGACTGGAGGAGTCTCTCCAGAAGCAGCACAGTGTCCCCATTCTTTCCCTCCTGGGACCTTAACCCACTGCCCACCTACCCGGGCCACCTCTCCCCTCCCAGCCCCGCCCCCACATGCCCCTGCCAGCTGGCTGCTTCAGGCCCCACAGTACGACCAGGCCGACCGGGCCGGCGTGCCCAGGAAGTGCCAGCCTGCAGGAGGTCGGGGTGACAGGCTCTCCCCTGAGGCCGTGCCCTGTGCCCTGTGGCCAGCCACACTTCAGTTCTTCTCGACCCAGTCTGGTGTCCCCTCGACCACTGCCCGGTCCTCAGGGCGGCCCAGGTCTCAGTATCTGTGGGCGCAGCAGGGAGGCCAGGAGGGCCTGTTAGCAGGGGCAGCCGAGGTCTGTGAGGGAGCTGTGGTGGAGGTTTGGGACTTGTCCTGTCAGGAAACCCGGGGACAGCGTGCTCAGGACTCACTCCGCCCAGTGCGGCTCCCTCCTCAGCCCTTTCTTCGGGGGGCCTCTGCTCCGGGGGCCACTCACAGTCCCGTGCCCCATCTCCACAGTCCGAGGGGTAAGAGGGTCTTCCCTGCTCCTGCACAGCTGGCACTGCCACAGCGTCCCAGGGGAGGCCGAGGGGGCCCTGACCCCAGGAGAGGGCCGCCCGCCCGCACAGGGAGGTTTCTCACAGGCGGCTGTGTTGGGGCTGCTGGTCCCCACTGGGCTCCCCCCGGTTCCCTCCGCGGCTGCCATTCTGATGGCTGTGTCCCTTGTCTGGGGACAGCCGAGCAGCCCCTTCCTGCACAGGAGGGGTGTGTGTGTGTGCACGTGTGACATCTGCATGGCCAGAAGACAGGCCCTGAGCCCAGGGCAGGTGCCAGGTAGGGACGGCTCGGGTGGGGGTGGCTCTGTGCCCGCCCAGCCTCCTCCAGGGCACTCACGTCCTCCCGTGATGGCTCTGCCCGCAGTTCCGGGGCCACGCCAACCTGCACGTGTTTGAGGACTGGTGCGGCAGCTCCATCCAGCAGCTGCGGAGGAACCTCCACTTCCCGCTGTACCCCCACGTGAGTGCTGCGGACCCGCTGGTCTCTGCACCCGTCTCCCCGGCCCTGCCTCCGCCTCTCGCCTGTCCTCGCTCCTTTTCTGGTGTGTTTTCTCTTCTCTTCTCTTCTCTTCTCTTCTCTTCTCTTCTCTTCTCTTCTCTTCTCTTCTCTTCTCTTCTCTTCTCTTCTCTTCTCTTCTCTTCTCTTCTCTTCTGAGAGGTTTTTGCTATTGGCGCATATACTCACTGGGCAGACAGAGAGAGAGAGAGACAGAGAGACAGAAAGTGAGAAATCACCCCCCAGGGGCGATGGCCACGCCGCAGTCTCTTCTCAATTCTCGAGATCTTGGGCACGCACGCACACGCACCCGGCGCGAGTTTAAGCCACTGGGTCCAGGCCTCGAACCGTGGTCGACTACGTGGGAGTCCAGCGACATAGCCATTACACTAACTGCTGGTCCCATTCTGGTGTGTGTTCTTTCTTTATCTCTGGGCCCTCCTTCCTGCTGCCCACGGTATCTCCCGTACTCCCTTCCCAGGAATTCCCGAACTCCCTGCCCTCCTTCACATTCAGTCCTGGCCGTCGCCGCGGCTCACGGGGCAGTGTGCTCAGGCCACCACACACAGTCATGCAGGCCACACACTGAGCCAGCCTCCCAGCCAGGAGGCGGGCGGGGCTGACTGCTGGCCTGCACCCCCAGGCCCCCCTCTTCCCACAGCCCCGAGCAGGCGGATTTCCTCTCCCTCTTCGGGGTGACAGTCCTCCCCTTTCCTGGGCATAGGTCCGCACGACCCTGAGGAAGCTGGCCGTGGCTCCCAAATGGACCAACTATGGCCTCCGCATCTTTGGCTACCTGCACCCCTTCACTGACGGTGAGGCCAGCCCCCGAGCCCACCCTCCCCTTCCTCTGCAGGGGATCTAAGCCCATGGCTAGAGGAAGCCCGCCCGGCTGGCGGGAA